TTCTGCAAAGACTTGAAGGTCATCCATAGGTAGGTAAGAATGATGGAATGATTGGGGGGAGGAGGGAGGGAGAAAGGGCAGACAGGACAGCCAATAAGAAACTGTAAGAATGAGTCATAGCAATTGAAGATGGAAATTAAACTTCCCTTGGCTGTGCCAGAGCAGTGATACATCGATACATCAATACTCCCGTGCCAAGTGCCGTCATCAGTGAATGACTTTCACTCTTTTCCCTAGGAGTCTTACCAAGGGCTTGGTTGGCCCAGCTAGAAGGTTGGTGGTCGAGGGGAAATTGAGGCTGGAAAGGTGTAGGGAAAGTAATGGGAATGAGAGGACAAAGGAGAGATTGACATGAGATTCTACTGAAGTGCCTTTGTACATGGACATACCTCCCCTCCCAACCATGGTAGTTTGGAATCCATAGCGAGAACTAGCCATATTGGGCTCTGAAACTAAGGAAAGTAGGATGTGAACATCAGGCCTAGAGACTTTAAGTGACTTGCTCAGGGTCATATTCAATTGTATGAGGAAGGATTAAAGTCCAGGTCCTCTGACTCCAAATTTAGTCCCCTTCTCCATCGTTCCCTGTTGCCTCTCATTTTCCTAGGTGGGGAGGAAGCCATAGCTTTGTATTTCGACTAGTTGTGTTTCTTAACAACATGCTAGAGTCATTTTTTCCGGTGTTGCTGAAGGATTGGAAATGTCAATATCCTTTCCAAAATCCAGCAACCTGAGACAAAGGCCTGTCTGCCCTACTCTGGTTATAACTCCAGACCATATATAGGCTTTCAGTGGATCAGGTTGATGGTTCAGAATGCCCATCTAGATCCCATCCTCATTTGGTAATTATAATAGGGAAAGGAATCTAAACCTTGGCTACTCACTTTGGAGGGGAGGGAGGGTGGGGAAGCTCCCTATTCATAAGTGTAGGATGGTGATCCTATGTGACCTTGTCTGTGACCTTGGAGACATTATTTCCTCTTTGCTGACTTCTCTTTCTTTATTAATAAAATAAAGAAGATGCGCTGTGTGATTTCTAAAGTATATCAGAGTCCTGGATCTAAAGCTTATTCTTTGTGTAATCAAAGAGCAAACATGAGAAAACCAGTATAGAAATATCATTCTGGGAGTGGGAGTGGGGAAGAGGGGTTAACTGTTATATCATTGGTATACAGAACTCTTGGTTAGGACTTTCCTCTGTTTTCCTTCTCCCAATTTTATCATCTTAGGGACCTGCAGGTAGAACTGTAGTTTAGGTTCTCCTCCTCACCAGTATTCTCAGATGAAGAGCAAGTCTAGGGGAAGCATTCTGAACCCTGCACTGGATCCACTCTAAGCTTATAGTCTGGAGCTGTAACCAGGGTGAGACAATCAGAGCTTTGTCCCAGGGTGCTAAATTTTAGAGGGACACCGGAAACATTTCCTGTCAAGCAGCAGGGGAAAAAATCTGACCTTTGCACAAAGTTAGCAGGAATAATTAGTTGAGATACAAAGATAAGGGTCAAGGTTAAGTGGTATGCCCAGAATCACCCTACAGATATATATGTCAGAGGCAGGATTTCAACCCAGGTCTCCTTAATTCTGGGGCCTGCTTGGAACCCACTATGCCACTCTGTTATTATACTATAAAGTCAAGTCTCTGCTCCCTCTAAGATGTCAGGATTCTTTGACCAGTTTGGGATTCTGTCTCCATCTATGAACTTGGCATCCGCAGGTAGATAGCTCATTTGGCAGTGAATCTCTGACTGCCCGTACCCCCTCCTCTGAGTTCCTCTCTGCGGCGTGGAGGTGACCCTGCATTCTCCAAGACTGGGCCAATGAAGCTTGACTTCTGGCAGGTCTTTCCCAGCTGGGGAGGTTTTGAGTGGGAGCCCTGCATGGACCAGATGTCTCTTATCCAGGAAGCAGCTTAGCTAAATTCAGACAATTTCGCCATCAGAGGGCTGGTCACCAGGAAGTTAACTCTTTTATATACATATATATATATATATATATGTTAATTCTTATACATATAAGTTAATTCATATATAAATATATATATATATCTCAATGGGTAAAATCCTCTACAAAGGCATAGAAAAGTTGTCCTAGGCCTTGCTAGATACAGAAGCCAAAATGAGAAAACCGTGGCTTCTTCTTTTGTGACTTAACTATTTGTGGGTGCGCTTCCAAATAGATGGTTAGCTCTTACCCCAAGAGAGGAGAAAGCTGAGACCTTAATCCAGAGTGGGGGTGGGGAAACTGCGGCCTCAAGACCACATGTGGCCCTTGAGGTCCTCAAGGGAGGCCCTCTGACTGAATCCATCCTCACAGAACAAATCCCCTTAATAAACAGCCACATGTGGCCTCGAGGTCCTCAAGGGAGGCCCTCTGACTGAATCCATCCTCACGGAACAAATCCCCTTAATAAACAGCCACATGTGGCCTTGAGGTCCTCAAGGGAGGCCCTCTGACTGAATCCATCCTCACAGAACAAATCCCCTTAATAAACAACAAGCCACATGTGGCCTTGAGGTAGCAGGTTCCCCACCCTGATCTAGGCCATTGGCTCTCAAACTCTGGGGTCTCAGGACCCCTTTGCCCTCTCAGACATTACTGAAAACCTTCCCAAAGAACTTTTGTTTATATTTACTGAATTAGAAATTACAATGTCTTAGTTTTATGATAAAGATAGTTGTGACTTCATGGACTGCCTTTTTATGTCCAGCATCTAGCACAGTGCTTGGCATACAATAGGCACTTAATAGATGCTGAGTTGCTTCTGTTCCCCTCCTAGGTTTTGTAGAATTTCAAGCTGGAAGCATCACCAGATCCTAGAGCCTGATGGAACCTCAAAGGTCATCTAATCTCCTCATTTTACAGATGAGGAAACTGAGGCCCAGAGAGGGTGTGATTGGCCCACAGGTAGTATGCACCAGAGAAGGGATGTGAGTCCAATCCTTTGATTCCAAAATCAGTTCTTTTCCCAGGGGACCTTAGTGATCATTTAGTCTAGGCTCTTTATTTTACAGCTAAGGAAACTGAGGTCAAGAAAAGGAAAATGACTTGCCCAAGGTCTCTCAAGTGTCAGAGCTGGAATTCAGCCTCATGCCCTGAGATACCATGCTCAGCACTTTCCCCATAGCTTTGTACTGCCTTCTCTCTAATAAACTGCCTGGAGCCATTAGCAGCAGCAACACCTTGCTATTAAGCGCCCTTGCTGCAGGATTTTGGAGGAGAGAGAGATGTGGGCACAAACAGAGCTGGCTGCCTGAGACGGCTGGACCACAAGCTTGGAGAGGCAGGAAGGTGGTCTACCCCACTTCCACGGGTGCAGGAAGGCCGGATCTGAGGACATCACCTAAGGGCATGCTGCAGACGCTTCTGCCCCAAGAAGGCTGGACCGTGGATCTGGGGAGCTGGCAGGAAGCAGCAGCTGCCAGTCACCCTGAAGAGGGCACCGGCTCTCTGCCCCCTCAAAGGCTGGCCAGTCTGTAAAAGCTTGGATTGGCCCAGGCTTCTTCTTCAAGTCTCCATAGTGGCCCTCTAACTGTAGGGCTGACCGCTGTCAGGAGTAAGACCAACAGGGTGGATCTTTGTATGGCAAAGGAACACAGCCCAGGGGGAGGCTGGTCCCCCAGCTGGCTTCCCCCGAATGTCTGTGCTCCTGTTTTTCTCCACAGAGTGTGCTCTCAGGCTCTGGAGTACCGTGGACTCTAGTGAAAGCTGTAGACAGGAGAGCATGGCAGACCCCAAAGAGGCTGACCGGAGGCTGTCACGTCCTTGAAAACATTGGGGTCTTCCCCTATTCTCCCGGGCGTATTTGTGCCAGAAGTCGAGGGATGCTGACAATCAGACATCACAGGACCCTAGCCAGGGATAGCCAGGTAGAATTTAGGAGGTCAGAGAATTAGCAAGTAGGAACCCAAGACGCTTAGGTGAGCCAAATAGGGCAGGGGGGTATTTAACACCCCCCCAACTTCCTGCAGTATGTAGGTGGGCAAGGGTTCACAGGTGTGTGTGCGTGTGCGTGTGTGTGCACGTGTGCGTGTGCGTGCGTGTGTGCGTGTGTGTGTGTGCCGGAGCAGACCTCCAGCTCAATACTGATTAAAGCTAGGCCAAAGAGCTGGCCTTTCAGGGAGTTTCTACAAGTTCATTGCTGCCTTAGAGGGTCAGGAGAGGCTCCCATGAAAGAACTGAGGCTTGTGCCGGACCCCGAAGGATGGACAGGACGTAGGATTGGGTCGCAGACTCAGGCATCCAGAGGAGCCCAAAGGTGCACGAGGAAGGCGTTTGGCCCGATTTTCAAGGCTGGCGCTGGGCGGCCGTGTCCTTGAATCTCGTTCCTCTGCCCTTGGCTGAAGGCAGCCCCCCCGGCTGGGGGTCCCCCACCCTCCTCCTCCAGGGAGATCACCAGCCACAGAGACTGGGTCACTGTCTTGTTGCTACCGCTCCCGTCTCCTCCCCATTCCAGTGACAGCGTGGAAAGTAAACAGTCTGATTTAAAGTCAGGGGAAAGAAACGCCACCCAATTATTCCCGAGACAATGCTGTGATTGTCATGAGGCCTGGGAGGATGGCATTCCTCAGAGGTTATGTGAATTTGAAGGCCATTATGCAGAGGGCAGAAAAGCGGGTACAGGCTTTGCCTGAAGGGTTGAGGGGGTAAGGTTAGACACAGGGTTAGACACTCTTCCCTAGTGGGGAGGGGGATGGAACTCCTGAAATCAGTGACAGAATGAGGCCGTGGACCCTCCTTCAGAGATCAGAGGAATATACCTTTAGAGCTAGCCGGGGACAGAGAGGCTGTCTAACCCAAGCTTTCCTTTTTATAGAGGAGGAAACTGAGGCCCAGAGAGTGGTGATTTGCTACAGGTCACATGAGTAGTGTGGGACAGAATCAGGATTTGAACTCAGGCCCTCTGACCCCAGAGCCAGCCCTCTGTCCACCCTAACGCATGGGATCACAGAATACTAAAGCTGAGCTTTAGAGACTGCTTGGTTAAATCACTCATTTTACAGATGAGAAGAGCGAGGCTGACCTCCAAACTGACACCCGGACCGCCGCCCCATTCTCTGTGCCTCTGATGACTCTCATCTTCACCTCACGAGGGTTAGACCTCCTGGGGTGGCATGGTTCAGGTGAGTCTGAGTCAAGGGAAGGGCCTTTTCCTTCTGGGGCCATATCACAAACGTTCTGAATGTGCTGCTGATTTGGGGGGAGCACCCAGGACTCAGCTAGATAAGTAAGCGTCTAGGGCAGTAAGACTGAGTGCGGCTTCGTAATAACAAAGGAGAAGGGAGAGAGGGGGAAGCAGTTCCGCTGGATGCCAGGGGAGGTTGTGGGCCAGTCGTAGGGCTCAGCTTAAAGCTCACAGACGCTTGCCCCAATGCCAGGGTCTGACTGCGAATGAGGCAGGTGAGAGGTGGGAAAAGGGATGTTGGGTCACAGGGAGTTAAGGGGAGTGGCTGAAGCTCTAGATGCAGCCTGACTTCCTCCGCCATCATGTCTTCTTTTTAGAGTGGAAAGAGTATTAGCTCTGAAGTCAAAGGAACTGGGTTCAAATCCTGCCGCCGATGCTTACTACATTACTACAGGGCTTTGCGCACAGTAAGTTTAACAAATGCTTTTTTCATTCACTGATATTTGTGTGACCTTGGTCAAGTCTCTTGACCTCAGTTTCCTCATCTGTAAGATGAAGGGGTGGGACCCTATGGCTTCTGGGGATGTTTTCAGTACGTTAGCCAACTTTGTAAGACTTATTCCGGCCCTCGGGCCAAGGCCCAAAACTAGACTCTACACCCTTTTCCCACTAACCCTACCAGGTCACTGTCCCCCGTGCGGTACCTGTGAAGTTAGTTTAAAAAAAAATAGAATCATTTATTCTATGACATTTCATTTCATTAAGTTTGGCCGAGTGTTCTAATTTGTCAGGATCCTGAATCCCGAACTTGGATCCCAGCTGGCGGGAAGGCTGCGGCTGGCGGAAAGGCTGCGGCTGGTGGACCTCTCGAGCTCAGGAGCTCCAGCCAGAAGCAGGCTAAGCTGGTCCCACAGGGCGGTGACTCTGAGGAGGGCTGCACTGGTCCGGATCAGAGGCAGGGCGCAGCACACAAGCCCAGTCTGGGACGGGGCCCGAGCTGGGAAGGGTCAGCAGCTTCCTGGGTAATTGATCTCCCCCTCCAAAGTGGGGCTGGTTGAGAAGAAACAGACCCCCCTGAGAAGCCCCTGAGGGTCACGACTCCCTAATGATGACTAACAACATTCATTAGGAAAACCTACCCTGAGCTTGGAAAACAAACAAGCTGGAGTGCTGGGCCCCTTGCAAACTGACCAGGTCACCGGCAGAGCCCAGCAGTGACCTCAGGCTGGAAGGGAGGGGAGGCCGTGGGGCCGGAGAGCATCCTTTCATTCATCACATCCCGCATTTACTGCTCACTGATGCCGTACCAGGCACCATGCTGCCAGGCGAGACCAAGCAGGCACAGAGTCCTAGGGGTTAGGGCTGGAAGGCCCTTTGTGCTCATCTGGCCCACCTTCCCCCCTCATTTTATGGTGGAGGAAACTGAGGCCCAGACTTATCTCAGGTCACTACGCTACATTTTAAGTAGCAGAGCCAGGCGTGCTGACTCCCATCCAATGTGGTGCCTGGACTCTGAGGGGCTTACGGCCTTTACAGGTGAGGAGACAAAGCTGTGACAAAGGATGGACAATTAAGTCAGCTTAGAGTCTTAGGAAGCAACCTGCTCCGAATAGATAACCCTAGGAAGTAGGGAGGAACAGAGTGATTGTCTCCATTTTACAGATGAGGAAACTGAGGCCAAGAAAAGGTACTTGAGTTGCTCAAGGTCACATAGGCCTAGTCTTGAACCTGTGGCTTTTGAATAAATCTAATGCTCTTTCTGTGATTCCATGTTGCCTTTCATTACAAGATAGTAAATGGAAATGGAAAAGTATGTGCTTTTAGAATTCATGGTGCGGGGGTCTTCTATAACCTGATTCCTTTGAAGTCTGATATTCTGGATTCTAAGGTCCCTCCCAGCTCTGACATCCCCTGTTTTTAATTTTTTTTATTTTATTTTTTTTTTAGGCAATTGGGGTTAAGTGACTTGCCCAGGGTCACACGGCTAGTAAGTATCAAGTGTTTGGTCTGAGGCCGGATTTGAACTCAGGTCCTCCTGACTTCAGGGCCGGTGCTCTTTCCACTGCGCCACCTAGCTGCCCCTGACATCCCCTGTTTTAAGGCCCCTCCCAGCTCTGACATTCTATATACTAAGTTCTCTCCCAGTTTTGATGTTCTGTATTCTAAGGCCCCTCCCAGCTCTGACCTTCTACAACCTAACACCCCCTGTAAGACCTGATATTCTAGGTTCTAAGTTCTCTCCCAGTTTTGATGTTCTGTATTCTAAGTCCCCTCCCAGCTCTGACCTTCTACAACCCATCACTCCTGTAAGATCTGATATTCTAGGTTCTAAGTTCTCCCCCAGTTTTGATGTTCCATGTTCTAAATTTCTTCCTAGCTCTCACTTCCTACAATTGAACACCCCTGTAAGGTTTAATATTCTAGATTCTTAGTTCTCTCCCAATTTTGATGCTCCATGTTCTAAGTTCCCTCCCAGCTCTGAGCTTCTACAGCCTAACACCCCTGTAAGGTCTGATGTTCTAGGTTCTAAGTTCTCCCCCAGCTTTGATGTTTCATGTTCTAAATTTCTTCCTAGCTCTCACTTTCTACACCTAACTCTCCTGTAAGGTCTGGTGTTCTAGGTTCTGAGTTCTGTCCCAATTTTGATGCTCCATGTTCTAAGTTCCCTCCCAGCTCTGACCTTCTACAACCTAACACCCCTGTAAGGTCTGGTGTTCTAGGTTCTAAGTTCTCCCCCAGTTTTGATGTTTCATGTTCTAAATTTCTTCCTAGCTCTCACTTTCTACACCTAACTCCTCTGTAAGTTCTGATGTTCTAGGTTCTGAGTTCTGTCCCAATTTTGATGTGCCATTCTCCAAGTTCCCTCTTAGCTCTGATCATCTACAATAGGCTCAATCCAAATTCCAAATCCTAGGTAATATCATTTGAAACTGGAATGTTCACTGAACAGGTGGCAACATGAAGCCTTTCTTCAGGTAGGAGGTAAGAGTTGTAGACATCTGTAATATGATTTAATGGGAAGAGCCCTGGGGCTGGAATTCCCAGCCTTGGTCTGATAGGAGCTTGTTGGAGAGCTTTAAATAATCATTGAAATGGGCCCAACAGTGTAAGATGGGGGCATCATGGAGGTGGAAGGGCCCTAGAGATAGTCTAGGCCATAGGGGTCAAACCGGGGCCATTTGGCCCACAGCACTCTCGAGGCCAGATAAAAATGTAGTTCCCATCTGATTTTAAATACTGATGTATTAATTTAAAAAAAAGAAATATATGAACATGTAGTTTTTTAAATCAGTATGGGGCCTGCAGGGATACTTCCCTTTGGTTCGTGGCTCCTGTTTTTGTTTGTTTGACCCCACTGGCCTGACTAGTCCATCTCTGTCCTTGGGCAGTTGGGAAATTGGGCCCCACAGACATTAAATGATTTGCCCAAGGCCACACAACAATTAAACAGCAGCCCCTGGGATTCCAAGGGAGATCACAGGAGATCAGAACATTAGTAAGACAGAGTGATCTTTGCCCAAAGCTCCCACATCCAGGGGGCCTCCTAGGGGGCCTCTGACCCTTCACTCCCCCAAGCCTGGTGGTCCTTCCACTAAGCCATCCTGGGACACTCTCCTTGGACTGACACATACACACATGTCATTGCAGCACACACTTTATGCAATAGACACGTCAGAGAGCTATAAAACAGAATTCTAGGGGAGGTCTAAAAGGGAAGGTCTTTATTGATAGGGAAATCAGGGAAGGCTTCCAAGAGGAGAGAGAATTTAGGTTTATCTTTAAGAAAAGGTAGTGAGGAAGGGAAAGAAGATAAACAAAAATACAGGGGGTGAAAAGGAGTTCAGTGCAATTGAGTTCACAAATAGGAATAATAGGAAATAAGGCTGAGAAGGAGGAGTGGTACTAAATTTCAGTGGACCTTGGATTCCAGGAAATGGCGATTGGACTTTATTTGTTAGGCAACAGGGAGCCACGGGAGAGGGATGAGCAGAAGAGGAACCCAACCAGATTTTCTGCATCAACAGTATTAGCCTCTCAGTATTTTGGAGGACTGATTGGAAGTAAAAGAGAGACCAATGGAATCCAGAAACTGCTGTGGGGAATGTGGGGAATGTGGGGAATGTGGGGAATGAGAAGGGCAGATGTGCAGAGATGTGGGAGGTGAAAGGGGAATGACTCTCCTAGCTGTACCCCCTTGGTTGGAAGATCCAACCTTCCTTGAAACTTGTCTTTAAAACATCTCTCATGCAGAGCCTGGGCCAGAGACACTGGGGGTGAGGGCACCTTCTTTTCATCCTACCACTGCTGCTACATATCAATAGTTGTTGTTATTCACTCGTTGTGACCCATTTGGGGTTTTTCGGCAAAGATACTGGAGTGGTTTGTCATTTCCTTCTCCAGTTCATTTTACAGATGAGTAAACCGAGACAAACGAGGTGAAGTGACTTGGCCAGGGTCACACAGCTAGTAAGTATCTGAGGCTGGATTTGACCTCATGACGAGTCTTCCTTGACTCCAAATCTTTATTTCTATGCACTGTGCCCACCTAGGATCACAGCTCCAGACCAGCAAGGGACCTTCAGAGGCCATGCTGTCCTACCTCCTCATTTTACAAATGAGGAGAATGAGACCAAAAGAAAGGAAGTACCTTGCCCCAGGTTACCCAGGTTGGGGTTTTGAAGGCAGGTTTTGAACTTATATTCGCTTCCCATTTCATTCTCTATTCGTTTTCCCTCTTTTAATTATTTCCTATTTATCCTCTATATAGCTTGATATACATGTATATATATATATATACATATACATGAGTGTATGTAACATATATATGTGTGTGTGCATGTTTGCATATTGTCTATATCGTCTCCCACATTAGATCATAAGCTTCTTGAGGGCAGGGACTTTTTGCCTCTTTTTATATCCTCAGTGCTTTGCACAGTACCTGGAACATAGTAGGCATCTAATAAATGTTTATTGAATGAATGAATGAATGATTTTTTTTTATGAATGAATGAATTTTTGAAGAGCTTCGAGGCTTATAAAGCCCTTTCTTCTCAATAGTCCCAGCAGGTTGGAGTCCCCATTTTACATATCAGAGAATGAAGTCAGACAAGTGTAATGACTGGCCCTGGGTCACACGGCTAGGAAGCATGAAGGTTGGGATTTGAATTCTGGCCTCCTGACCAGTGGATTTTTTCCTCCTCAAAATCACTATACTATGATTTCTTTCCCTGATATCATTTGATCTTCACCACATTCCTGTAAGGAAAGTAGGGTAAACATCCCCATTTTGTATATCATGTTGGGAAACTGAGGCCCGGTCACACAGCTCCCTTCAAGCTAGGATGCTGCCTAATCATTTCTTTGTAGGCAGCCAGGCTTGCCAGCTTCTCAGATTGTAGATGGTAGGGTGGTAGGTGTCATCTCTTGAAGAAAGGTGTATGGTGACCTTGTTGTAAAAATCAAGCCAGGTGGGTGAGACCATGGGAGCAGATTATAGGAATCTGTTCAGCTTCTGGTCCCCCTGGGGGTGGTCAGGATGGTCTGTTGGGGCTTTTTTTATTTGGTGAAACAACTCCTGTGATATAGGGAGGTGGGGAAGGAGATATGGGTTGAAGGCAGACAGAGCTCCAGGCTGGTCAGTTCTAGTCCCCTGGGCTAAACTGGCTGGTAGACGGGGGTGGGGGGGGGTGGGGGGGGTGGGGGGGGGGGGGGGGTGTTGGGACCTTGACACCTTCCATCCTCAGGGCAGGGAGTTGTGATTTAATGAAAGGGAAGGGGAGCCACAGAAAAAAAAAAAACTTTTCACTTGTGTCCAGTAGTTTTTTATTGATTAATTGATGGAAGTTGTCAGGATCCGAAAGAATGAAAGAGGCTCCTAGGTGGTGCAGTGGATAGAATGCTGGCCCTAGAGTCAGGCGCTTACTAGCTGTGTGACCTTGGGCAAGTCACTTAACCCAGTTTGCCTCAGTTTCCTTATCTGTAAAATGAAGGGAAGAATGGATGGCAAACCACTGTGGTATCTTTGCCAAGAAAACCCCAAATGGGGTCTCAGAGTCAGACACAATAGAAAAATGACTGAACACCACCACCAAATTAGATATGATCTCCTGCTCCAAATCCCTTCCATTTCTACCTGTGATTTTTTTAAAGAACAGATACATCTGACCACGTCACACACAGACCCCTTTCCCCCACCCCCATATAGTCCAATGGGTCCCTATTACCTCTAACATCCAACTGAAATTGCTGTTTGGTATTTTTTAATAATATTTTATTTATTTTTTTTAAGGCAATCAGGGTTAAGTGACTTGCCCAGGGTCCTATAGCTAGTTAAGTGTCCAAGGCCAGATTTGAACTCAGGTCTTCCCAACTCCAGGGCCAGTGCTCTAGCCACTGTACCACCTAGTTGCATTCTCTGTTTGGTCTTTAAAGTTTATTCATAGCTAAGCTGTTTCGTATCTGTCCAGAATTCTTACATAGACGCCTTTTCTTGCCTCCTATGATGCCAGGCATCTTACTGTTCCTTAAACAGGTCTCTCCACCTCCCCTCTCTGTGGTTTTATATTGCCCCTCTCCCTAGGACGCCCTCCCTCATCACCCTTAAAGGCTCTTGCTTCCTTCAAGATTCAGGTCAAATGCCACTTTTTATAGGATGCCTTTCCCTCTAAAGATACTTTCCATCTATCTCTGTAGACATCTCTTATGTGCCTATTCATGAACACGTTGGCTCCCTGATTAGAATGTAAGCTCCTTGAGGGCAGGAAAAGCGTTCACTTTTTATTCCTATCCCCAGTACTTAGCACACAGTAAGTGCTTAGTAAATGCTCGCTAACTGATGGATGATAATGGGTGATATTTGTTCCACAAGCTTTTACTCAGCACTTACTAGGTGCCAGACATTATAGTTGGTGCTGGGAATCAAAGGCAAAAACAAGACAACTCTTGCCCTCTAGGAGCTTATAATCTACAGAAGTAAACAATGTGTCCCCAGATAAATAAAATACAAAATAAATGCAAAGTCATTTGTGGTGGTGGAAGGTCTGGGGAACAGAGCGATGAAGAAAGCCTTCTTCTGAGACATAGCTTGGACTGAGCCCTGAAGGCAAGGGTGGGGGTGAGGAGGGAATTCATTCCAGGAATGGGGGACCAGGCTGTGCAAAGGCATGGGGGCGGGGGATGAACTGTCTGCCTCTACAGGGTGCCATGAATAGAGGAAGAGCAAAGAAGCCAGTCTGGTAGGAATCCAGTATGTGTGAGGAGGAGGATTGTGAAATCAGTCTGGAAATTGAGATGGGAACCAGCCTGTGATGCGAGTCACTTTGCATTTTAATTTAGAAGCAGGAGAAAGCCACGGAGGCTTCTTGAACAAGGGAGTGACCAGGTCAGACTTGTTTTTTAGGAATATTAATTTGGCAGGTGAGCAGAGGACAGATTGGAGAGTGGGAGGGGTGTGGGGATGGGGAGAAGTAGAGACCAATTAGGAGTGCATTTCAATAGGCCCGTGGATGAGTGTCTGAATGAGTATGGTGGCTGCCAGAAGGGAAAGAAGCAGCCAATTGGAAGGCACCTCAAGGAGTCTGAAATGGCAAGATTGGTGAATGAGCAGACATGGCGGGCGGTGGGGAGTAAAGGATTGAGGATGACTCTAAGGCTTCCAACCTGGGTGATGGAAAGGAAGATGGTGCCCTAGGCAGTAATAAGGATGTTGGGAAAAGGGGTGGGGCTTGGAGGGAATGATCATGAATTCCATTGTGGACTGGATTTCCAGTTGCCTACAGACATTTAGCACAGGCTGGAGGGCTTTCTTTCTATCCCTAGGTGATAGGGAGCATGGGTTTGGGTCAGGGGCAGGAGCATGGGCCTTAAAGTCAGCAAGACCTGGATTCATGTCCTTCCTTTTCCTCACTAGCTCTGTGGAAGAATGTGGAAGACGTGTTGTCAGGACCCAAAGGAATGAACAACTAATGGTAAAAATCCTATTGACTCTTCTGCCCTTCCCTCCCCAAGCCATCCTGCCTCTTCAACTGGCTGGAATGAATTTCTTAAAGCACAGGTCTGACCATGTTCCACTCAGCCTCCCCACCCCCCCAATCAATACATTCCAATGGGTCTGATTATCTCCAGCATCCAACTGAAATGCCCTTGTTTGTGTAAAATACTTTTCTCCTCTGAAAAATGGGGATAATCATGCCTGTAGTATCTACCTCAAAGGACTCTTGTGAGGCATATAGATGAGATACCCTATATAGGGTGCCCCAAAAGTCTTAGTGAAGCTTGGAGCTATTAAGGTTTTTGGGACATCCTGTATCAAGGGTTTTACAAACGTTTAAAATGCTATACAACTTCTGTTCTATAAGAAATGATGAGCAGGAGGACTTCTGAAAAACCTGGAAAGACTTGTATGGACTGATGCTGAGTGAAGTGAGCAGAACCAGGAGAACGTTGTACACAGTAACAGTCACGTTGTGTGATGACTAATTTTGATAGACTTAGCCCTTCTTAGCAATGCAAGGATCTAAGACATCTCCAAAGGTCTCATGATGGAAAATGCTATCCACATCCAGAGAAAGAGCTACGGAGTTTGAATGCAGATTGAAGCAGACTATTTGCGCTCTCTCTCTTTTTTTTACTTCTGTTTTGTTTTGTGTCCTCTTTCTGGTGGTTCCTCCTACTGGTTCTAATCTTTCCTTACAACATCACTAATGTGAAAATATGTTTAATAGGAATGTATATGTACAGCCTGTGTCAGATTGTATGCCGTCTTGGGAGGGAGGTGGGGAGGGAGGGGGAGAAAAATTTAAAACTCAAAAGTTTGTGGAAGGGATTGTCGATAAATTAAAATAAATTAATAAAAAAAAGAAAAAAGAACATGGTATGCAAATGTCAGTTCTTATTACCATTGTCTTCTTTTTCTAGATGCAGTGTGGCATAATGGATGGCATACTTGATTTGGAATTAGGAAGACCCGGGTTCAAATTCTGCCTCAGGCAGATCATTTCCTTTCAATGTGCCTCAGTTTCCTCAACTTTAAAATGATGTCTAACTCAGTGGATTCTAAGTTCCTTTCCAAATAAAAATGTAATCCTAAAGAGCTGCCCTTGGAATCAGGGAGGAAGTTCTTCAACAGAAGCTCTCTCCATTGATGGAATCACAGATCTAATCCTCCCTCTTCCTGCCTTTTTTTTTTTTTAATCTCCTTTTTACAGAGGAAGAAATGAAATCATTTGCCTATGGTCCTATGCTGTCATGGTTGTGACTTGGTACTCAAACACACGTCTTCTAATTTTCAGTCTATTTATTCAACAGTAAGCTTTTATAAGGCACCTACTATATGCCAAGCACTGAGTGTACAAAGACAGAAACGAGTCACAGCTCTCACTTACACTTAACTCAGTTTCCAGTCTTCTTCCCCATCTCAGTGAACGCCTTCCCACCTAGAGAAGCCTCAGCCCTGAAACCTGAATCTTCTGTCATTCCAGGAGGGGCTCCAGTCGACCACTTCCTTTCCAGCTCACTCTCTGGATTTCTTCTCCAACGCCCTACCAACTGCCTCTCTTCCCCTCTCTCCCGGCTCCTTCCCTCCTTCCCTCTTTCCCTCCACCTTCTCCCCTTCCAGTTCTCCCCTTTACAACTCCATTTTATATAGGGTCTTCCCTCATGAGAATAGAAGTTCTTTGAGGGTAGGGGCTAGCTAATTTGCATGTATTTGTGCCCCTAGTACTTGGAATAGCATCTGACACATACAAATGCTTAATAAATGCTTTCTTTCTTTCTTTTTCTTTCCTTCTTTCTTTCTTTCTTTCTTTCTTTCTTTCTTTCTTTCTTTCTTTCTTTCTTTCTTTCTTTCTTTCTCTCTCTCTCTCTCTCTTTCTCTTTCTCCCTTCCTTCCTTCCTTCTTCCTTTTTTTCTTTCTTAGCCAATTGGGGTTAAGTGACTTGCCCAGATCTGGTAAGTATCTGAGGCTGGATTTGAACTCAGGTCCCCCTGACTCCACTGTTGCACCTAGCTGTCCCATCTCATTTCTGTCATTGTATACGCAGTACCTAGCAGAGTATCTGGCACAGGGCAGATACTTAACAAATGTCTATTGATTGACTAATTCTTCTTTCACAATCTCTCAAAAGATCATGTCCTTCTTTGCATTCGCCACAGCCACTGTGTTAATCCAGGCTCTCAGGTCTTCTTTCCTAGACCACAGCAATAATATTCTAAGTCATCTAAGCTCTACCATTTATCACCCGTGTGACCGAGGGTGAGTCACTTAACTTACCTCTCTAGGCTTGTTTCTTGGTCTGTAAAGGCAGGACCAGGCGACTGCTATGGAATAGACATTTAACAAATGATTGTTGAATTGAATTATAGTCCTAAATATCAGCTCTTCTGCCCAGTTGAAAAAATAGCACTGAGAGGCTGGTGAGTGTCTTCATTGGTGATAAAGGACTAGAGAAGATGTCATTCCGTGGCTGTGAGGATGCTGCATTTGAAAAACCTATGTGCCATAGGCGAGAAAAGTCTTACAATGTCGGCGTGTCCTGGTGGACCCCAGGGAGCGTCCAAAGCCTGTATAAATGCCAGGGTATGTCATACACACAGAAGACACAATGCAGTTGGAAAAAATCCATTCTGAATGACCTTCCCACAGAAGAGCCAGCCTGAGGCCACCCTCCCTGATTGCTAAGGATGCTGCCCCCGGGGTCAGGACTCGGGTAGGAAGAGCATTGTTCAGAAAAGCCAGTCGTGTCAAGACATAGCATAGGAAGGAAATGCTCGCCCAGAGGAGGCTGAGGCTTCTAGAGGGTAAAGGTTTCCTCATGGCATAGAGTAACCATCAATTACCATAGGGCTTGCCTTTTTTATTTCTTCTTACAGGGCTTGTAAGATTTGGAGTCAGAAGAAACTTCAGAATTTGTGTAGCCCAAACTCTTTATTTTATAGAAGGGAAACCGAGGCCCAGAAAGTGACTTTCCCAAGATTTAGAGTTGGAAGGGTCCTCTGAGGCCATCTGGCTCAACCCCCATGTTTTATAGAGGGGGAAAGTGAGGCCCAGAGAGAGAAAGCTATTGGCCCAAGATGGTAGGACTACAGAATCCTAGATGCAAAGGTGGAACAAACCTCCAAGGCCCAGTGGGTATCTTACGAAAAACCTCCTTATCTCTAACATCCCTGAGAATGAGATTATGTTCGTAGAGAAGTGCTTATCACCATGCCTGGCAGAGAGTGGGTGCTTAAGGAGTGTTTGGTGATTGACTGATTGATTGCGATGTCATGTGATCTGGTTCTGCCTCCAGGGCTGAATGACACAAGACAAGCAGAGAGACAGAAACACAGAGAGATATGGAGAGAAAGACAGATAGACATGGGATAACCCTGTGGAGTAGGAGATGGGCTTGTTTACTTGTCTAGAGATGGAGTTGTATTTCCCATCCGGCAAATCCTAAGCTCCCTGAGACCAAGTCCTGTTTCAGAGATATAAAGCAGGAAGGGACCCCAGAAGACATCCAGTCTGACCTTCCTTATTTTATAGATGAGGAAACTGAGGCAAACCGAGATTAAGCGACTTGCCCAAGGTCACACGGCCGGTAAGCATCTGAAGCTAGATTTGAACCCAGAAGTAAAATTGGAATCCAGGTGGTCTGACTCTAGAACCAGTGTTCTTGGCACTGTTTCCAGCACTTAGCATAAGACCTGGACCATTGTAGGTGTTTGGTTTGATTTGAATTGAAAGTCTATGTCCTGATGACATAATGCTGTCTTCTCAGACTCAGAAAAGTCTTGGGTGGGAGAAAATAACCCTGCTTCATCTCAGCTGATCCGAGTTCCCCCAGATAGACTGGACCCTCCTTACGAGACAAGCCCAGAGCTTTGCTGTCCCAATGACCACCCTGGAATATCCCAGTGGGAAGAGTTCAGATGCTACCAGACTGAGCAGGAGAGACTTCTGAACACTCACCAAGAGGAAGCCAAAGGCTAGAACAGTGGCTTTTTAGAGGAAGGGCCTCCGGGGTCCCCATCAGAGCTGGGTTGAGGGAGCAGGAGACGCACATGGTTTGGGCCCACTATCCCCGAAATCATTTCCTCCCACTGTTAGGCACTGGGGGCCTCAGCAAAAGGCAGCCGAGAGAGGAAAGTGAGTGTGTACCCTTGGAATCTGACTCAACCAGCATTCACAGGCTCTGGTCCTCAGGGACTGGGTAGTTCAGCCCTCTCATTTTATAGGGAGCAACTTTAGGACTTTTGTCTAAGGTGCTTCCATTTCCAAACTACCTTGGACTTATTTTGTAAATACTTATGTGTTAAGATCGTAGAATCATGGGCCTAGGGCTGGAAAGGAATTCAGAGGCTATTCAGCCCAATACCCTTATTTTACAGATGAGGAAACTGAGGCCTAGAGATGGTTACATGGTGGGAGAGACAGTGTAGTGTTATGGGCAAAGAGAAGTTCTCTGAAGTCTGTATCTTATGGACATAGGCCTGCCTTGAACACACACTGATCGTGTGATCCTGAATAGATCACTTAACATCAAGGGATGTCAAGGAACATCAGAGAACGTCAGGGAACATCGGGGAACGTCAGGGAACAGTACGGTTGAGGCAATGTTCTAAGAACAAGTGAAGAGAGTTTCCTCACCAAGGAGTTCCCCATGTGAATGAAATCAGTTATCAGCAGCAGCAAGCATTCATTAATCCCCTACTATGTGACAAGCTATGCCAGAGAAACAAAGAAATGCACAAACTGAACTTGCCTTCAAGAAGCTTACATTCTAACCTGGAAAACAAGCATGCCAGCAACTGTGTCCACATAAGAGCTCTTCTCAGAGGGAATAGGGAGAACCAGGAAGGTCTGTTGTGGAAACTGAGACTTGAGCTGTGTCTTGAAGGAGGCCAGGAGACGGAGGGGAGAGGGGAGACCAGTCAAAACAAATAGAAACAACAAAAATGCATGTTGGGTAAACTGTGCTGTCTTCCTCCAATAGAAAGTAAGCTCTTTGAGGGCAGGGAGCATCTCTTTCTTGTGTTTGTATATATTTTTAAAGTCCCTGTGCCAAGCACAGAACTTGACATGTAGTCAGCACTTAGTAAGTTGACTGATTGATGGCAGAGTCAAGAATGGTCCAGTAGAAATGGTGTTGAGGACAAAACAGGGTCTGGTAACCCTAATCACCAAGGTTTGACTTTTAGGGAGTGGGGGAAAGGAAAAATTTTCGTCCTTGTCTGGGCAGGGAGAGGGCTGATACCAGAGCGGCGACAGGAGACAACCCCCTGCTGGTGTTGGCTGGCGGGTGTACCTGGGCCAAGCAGTCAGGCTGTATTGGGTGATGTCT